ATCACTCTCCAGGCCCCTTCGAAGGTACACCTGCCAGAGCAGCCGCACTGGCAGACTTGCCTGCGCGGCAGCAAAACAAAACGAGAGGGAGGTAGATGAGGGCAGGAGGAGCATGGCTAGGGCGAGCGGGTTGTGGAGGGAGGGTGGTGGCGGGGGGGGGGGGTCGGGGGGTCGCGCGTGGAGGGGCGGCGGCGGCGGTGGCCGGTGGCGCGGGGGGGGGGGCTCTGCAGGGAAGAGGTTGGAGGTGGGAGGGTTGCGAGTGGAATTCGGGAGTTGAGAGAGTTTGGGGCACCCCCGATTTGCATGTCTGCCCGCTGCCTTTTGGGGAAGGCGCAGAACCAGTTTCGCCGATGCCTCAAGATAGATCCTGAATTGGTCAGCCAAGTCAATAAGTAAGGCGAGTCCCTGTGCGCGTAAGGCGCGGCGTGTCCCCACATGCCAAGAGAAACCGCGTTTTCTGCGAATGCGTCCAGCGGCGGAACAACGTTTTCACCCCATTCTCTCAACGCTTGTTCTTGTGGTCGCTGGCCATCGCCGAACCGACTCCACAAGTGAGCGTCGCTGGGCCTCACCGGCCTTTCTAAAATCTCATGCGGCACGAGGAAGTTCACTAGAATTAGCTTCTGTCTGGCAGCATGGGTGTCCCATCCTAGGAGATATGCCTGGCAAACGTCTGGGGCATCTGACTCGTCGAGCCTCCTCATTACATCCCTGTGCGAGTTCTCACCTCCACCCAAATTCCCCGAGCTCGAGATGTCCTCGGGAACCGCATCTGGATGGCGAGATAAATCTGAACATGTACTTCGGGCGCCTTCTACAATTTCTGTGGCCGCCAGGGTGCCCGACATGAGCTTCCGCTTGAGAAAAGACGCACTAGCTCCCGATGACGATGCAGTTTCATCTGTCGGGCGAGGGGTTGCCGCCGAACTCGAGTCTGCCTTCTGGGAGTGATGCGCCAAAAAAACCGACCATCTCACCCCCGAGAAATCCACGGCGTCAGCGCCCCTGGACAACACCAAAAACACACACCATCATTAGATGTTTCACCCTTGATTTCAAACATCACCCTCTATTGGGAATGGTGCAAGGTCATATTGAACCCGATGCGGCGTCAGCACGGGGAAGCAGCCGCTGACGAACGCCACCGCCCAGGACCATGCATTGCCAGGAAGCGCGCGGGGCCCCGACAAGTCAGCCTGGGCCGAACGCCACCGAAGAGGGAAACCATGGTCCATCATATGCGTTCACACGCAACCACATCACGGTTTCAACAACATCCCCCATTGACCCTCAGCATATGTCAATGGACCATGGTAGCTGGGGGAGCGTTTCAAATGCGGCTCGCATGGGGCGCCTGCAAAAAATGCACAACACGCGTTGTCGCCTCCTAGTCTGCCGACCCCATCGGCCGACCAATAGCACCCGCCTTTCGAACCCGAAAGAGATGGTCTACGCTCAAGCCATGCGCTTGAGGTCGTCCAGGTTTGACTTTTTCCACTCGTTGAAGCTCTTCTTAGGGCGCCAGCAAAAACAAAGGAGGCGGATGAGGGCGACTGGAGGGGGGCGGGCAATTCAAATATGAAATTCGTGTTCCATTTGCTATCTGGCATCCTCCTCTCCTCTTTCCTCCACCTCTTTCCCCACCTCTTTCCTCCACCTCCTCCACCTCTTTCCTCCTCCTCCGCCACCTCCTGGGGCGCTGCTGTGACAGGTTCTAAGCCAATGCGAATATGTCAGTGTCCTCATTTGGCCTTCTCTCCTCCTCTCCTCCCTCCTCCTCCTCATCATCCTCATCCTCCTCCTCGCCCTCGCGTTCATGCGTTGCATGGGATAGGCCTGGTAGTTTTTGTTTTACCTGCGCTCCTGGATGGCGTTGAGCCTGGCCAGGAGCGTCTGCGCAGTCTGGTCGAGGTCCTGCTTGGCCTTGTCGTCGTCCCGCACGGTGGTCTTCGCGTCGGAGTACTCGTTCTCGCCGAACTCGTCGATCGTCTTCTTGAAGTCCGCTGCCCTCGTGGTCAAGAACGCGCCCATGGCCTCGGGGAAGTTCTTGGCCGCGAGCTTCCTGCGCAGCGATGGGATGTCAGCCAGCTCGCCGCCGCGCGCGCGCAGGAACGCCTTCGACTTGCCGACGGCCTCCTCCAATTCCTTCTTCGACTTCTTTCTAGCTGCTTTCTGTGGGTTCTCCTTGGCGTCCTCGAGCTCCTTCTGCAGCCTCTCCTCTCGCTTCCGCGTCTTCTCCTCGGCCTTGCTCTGCGACGTCGGCGTCGGCGCCGGGCTGGAGGCGGCGTGGCCGTCGGATGCGGCGGCGATGTCGACGCCCTGCATTGCTCCTTGCACCTTCCTGTAGTCACCCTCGGTCATGTCGGCGACGGCAACGATCTCGGTTTTTTCTTCTCTGCCGTTCACCCTGCGCAGGATCTCCTTGCTGTACTTGTACTCTTTCACGCCGAGGTCTGCCAGGGCCTTCATCCTGCGCGGGCGCTCCTCGAGGCAGTGGATGATGATGGACGCGTGACGTTTCGAGTTCATGTAGAGTGGGCTGGCCAATTGTTCCTCAGTCAGCCACTCTTCGTCGGCCACGTGCTTCGTGCTCTGGTTGACACTGACCGTGGCCTTGCCCTGGTGGCCCCCGCTGCTCGCGTCCATGATGAAACGGGTGAGCCACTGCCTGCGCTCGACGTCTCCGCCCTTGTCGTACCGTTCGCACAGAGTGGGGGCGTTGGTCTTGAGAGGGTAGCCATATGCTGAGAACAGCGATTTCATCTTAGTATCTCCAAGCGTCTCCTTGAGTTGCTGTGGCGTAAGTGTTGCCAAATCCACGCCCTTCTCACGAAGCGTTGCCTTGGCCGCCGCCATCGGCTTGGAGTCCTTCTTGCTCCCGAGGTTGGCCAGTTCTGTCATCTCCGCTTCGCTCAGCGGCGCATCGCCCATCTCGGCAGGCAACTCCATCTTGACCTTGGACTTGGCCTTGGCGGTGGGCGTCCTGACAGGCGCGTCCTCGGGCGCCTCGTCCTCTGGCTCTTCCTTCGGCTGCATCAGGGTGTCCTGCGGGTCCTTCGGCGAAGTCCCTGCGGCTGCGGGCCTCTTGTGTGCTGGTGCGCCCTGCTTCCTAGGCTTCTTCGCATTCACATCTCGCTCGGCTGAGTCATCGTCAGAAGCCTCCCCACCTTTCTTCCGCTTTGGCTTTGCATCAGAGTCGGATAGCGCAGCAGGCGTAGAAGGAGCTCTCATGGCGGCAGACGGTCTCTTCATCACCGTAGGCTTGCTCAAGGGCTCGGAATCGCTGCTGGACACCATCTTCTCAGAACGTCTGGTTGCTTCTGCGCATGTGGAAGTCCCGAACTGGAACGGCCATCAAAACCTCGAGCCTGAGTGTCGGTACAGTCGGAACAAGTGCGCGGATAATCCAGCGACCAAAACTCTCCTCCCCCTCCTCCCCCTTCTCCCCTGGATGTCCTCCCTCGAATTCCCCTGGAGAGGTTGCGTCATGTCCCTTCGGGAACAGATGAGGTTCTTTTTTTTGGGGGGGGGGGCCGTCGGGGCAGACGCAGACATGTCAGAGAAGCGGCTCAGTGGCAGAAAACAGCTCCCGACAGCTCCCCGCGGGAAAAAAAACAAAAATCTGCTCGGGCCCTGGCTGTTTTTTCTGTCTTTTTTCTGTTATGTTTATGTCATTTTTTTTATATATATATATATATGTATATATATATATATTCTGTCATTTTTCTGACATTTTTCGGTCGGTTGATTGTTTCATGTAAAACACAATGTTTTCTCATTTTTTGAGGCCAACATAAATGGCAGAAAAATGACAGAACAATGCCACATGACAGAAACATGACAGAAAAATAACAGAATTCTGAACAGCTGGGTTCCGGAAGGCTGCGGTCCAGACCAGCCGAGTTCCGGAGACAAAATCCAGGACGGGAGAAAGCTTCCATGGACAGACAGACATCCCAAGGACGGGGCGCTTCACCTCAGAAGCCGTGCGTTTTCGCTGAGAGAATCTCCCCCGCAGAAGGTGCGCTCCTTCGATGAGGAAGAGGAGGGGGGAAGGCAGAATGGGAGCGCACGGGGGTGTGCGAGGAAATGCAGGAAGAATAACAACGGAAGGAGGAAAAGGAGTAGGAAGAGCAGGAGGATGAGAAGGACTACGACTTGCCATTTGCACTTGCCTGCTGTTCTGCGGAGCATGCAGCGTTAGCTCAGCCTGCGTGCTTTCAAGTTCCTGAGAGCAGCACGAACAGACTCGAGCTTGTCTTTGGGGAGCTCCCTCACGCGGCCCCTAAGGGCCGTAATATCAGGATGGCGCTCAGCATCCTTCATGACGCTCTCAACCACGCCAGTTTGGTCGTCAGTCTCGCTAATGAAAACTTGTAGGACCTGCGCTTTATCTTTACTGGTAGTCCTCAGTATTATCGTCTGGCTCATGTTGCGCCCTGCAGTGCGCTGTAACCATGGTTTCGTCTCAACGTCGCCGTCGATCGCATCCGATGCGACGACCTCGGCGGCGGGTGGCGCGGGTAGTGCAGCCAAGACCATCTCTGCAAGAGGTGCATCTCCATCGCCCCCGACGAGCTCGCCATCGCTCACTGCGACCATCTTGTCGGGCGCATCGTCGTCGGATACCAGGGAGACGGCCGCGGGTCGTTTGGCAGCGGCTGCGGCAGCGGCTGGCCGCTTGAGAGCAGCCTCGGCTTTCGCCGTGGCCTTCTTCTTGGGCTTCGGTTGTGGCGGTAAAGCTGGGGCCTCCATCAGCCTGCCGTCCGACTTGATGTAGCTCGATGGAGTCAACGTGGTATACCTGCGTCCGTCAGGCCATATAGCAACAGCGAGTTCGTCCTCACCTGGCTCGTGCCTCTCTGCGTACAGCCGCTGCCCATTGCCGCCAAGAATGAACGCGCGGCCATTCTGCGTAATCGCGCACACCTCGTCGTCGGAGATGGACTCGTGAGAACAAGAAGATGTCGTGTCAGGTGGAGCGCCCCTGAAGTTCACGAATGGGTTTTTAACTTGCACGGATCCACCGATCTTTCTGCGAGGGTCTAAGCCAGACGCTTCCCAGATGTCGTAAATCTCGATGGGTTCAGTCGGGTGTGGGCTGGCTCCAACTACTTCGCCAGAGCCGCGCGCCTTGGCTTTCAGGGTGATGGATTGCTCGTACTTTTCCCGAACGTGGGACATCATGACACGGTAAGAATACGCCACCAAAGCGAGAGTCTCGCCGTGCGGCTTCACTATGTCCCTGGCAAGCTTCATCGAACTTTGCTCGTGCTTCTGCTCGGTACATGCCTTCATCACTGCTCGTTTCATGTCATCTTGGGAGAAGAACCCTCCTCTCGCATCGAGAGCAGCAAGCTGTTTCAACGAATCAGAAGCTTCAACCAAATAAGGTACATTGATGCTTCTCCGCATGTGATCGGAAGGGTATCGACCATCTCTCCACGCAATGTGGAGTGTGCGGGCCACGATTGGCTCAAGAACAGATGCGGTATCGGTATCGGTCGAGGACCGCCAGCAGGGGGCACGTTTGCGCCGTCTGGCCATGCTGGCGTTGAGCCAAAACTGGCAACGGACAACTCCGAATGAGGGTCTGCAGATGTTCTCGTTTAGACGGGCTTTATTCAGGTTGCGGGCATTTATTTAGGGCGGGCCCCAGGGGGGGAGAGAACAGGATGAGCCAGAAAGGAGGCGGCAGACCAGAAGGATGAGGACGAGACGGAGGGGGGGAGGAAGGGGGGGGGGAAGCAAGAGTAGGAGAGTGTAGCAGTGGAGCGAGGACGGCGGAACCCTTGGCGAACCGAGCGCAGCAAGTGCCGACGATTCGCGTTCTGACGAGTGGAGCCCTGGACGGCAACCATCGATGAATAATGAACGATGTGCCACTCGCCTCGGCAACGATCGATGAAGAATGAACGATGTGCCACCCGCATCGCCGCTCACCCCTCTGAAGTCTGTCATCAAAGGTTGGGGAAGCGGGTCCGGGGCAGCTCAGGGGTGGTCTCGGTCGGCGCGTTCTTCATGTGCTCCTGATGGCGGCAATTTTCAGCATCCTCCTGCCACCCTCCCCCTCTTCACCCCGACTTGGACCGCTTCGCCCTTCTCCATCCCCTCCTGTTCTTCCTACTGCTGGGGCGCTGCTGTGAGACGCGCTTGTGTCGCTGTGTGTCCCTGCGTTGCCACTGGGTCGGAAGGCTGTTCCCGAGTGCAATTTCTCAGGATCATCGTGCTCCTCCTCCTCCTCCTCCTCCTCCTCCTCCCCCTAATCTTCCTCCAGTCCTTCCTCTAGTCCGTCCTCTATTCCTCCTCCTCCCCCTCCTCCTCCTCCGCCTCCTTGTCATCCTCCCTCCTCCTCGGCTAAGCTTCAAAGTGATAGGGTGCGGTTGCGCGCAGCCCCGAGTCCTGCACGGCCTGCCTCATCTCCTCCTGCTGCATGCGCGCGGCGAGCTCGGCGCCCTGCTTCTCGATGGCCCTGCGCGCCTCGATCGCCACCTCGTCGGCCTCCTCGGCGCCGCGCGATGGGCCAGTTGAGCAGTCGGTGGCGAACTGCTCCACCTCAGACGTGGGGCTCGCTGGCTCGCGCCCCTGCGGGACCGTCTTCTCGTCCTCCGACTCGATCTCCTCGGTCTCCTCGATCTCTTCGGTGGTCGGGCTGACGCAGGCAACAGGTTGAGACAAGGCCGACGCTGACGAGCCCACACGGCCCAACTTTCTCTTCTTCTTGCCGTCGGGCTCCAGAAGCTTCCGACCGAGCCCAAACGCGTCGAACCTGCTGTCGACGTACGGGCGGGGGGCGTACTCGGGCTTTGCGGCATGGCGGAACTCCTCGAAGTTGGACACGATGAAGTGGCAGAACTCCACGTGGTACTCGACGATGCTCTCGGCGGGCCACACGTGCTTGCCTACGTGGTTGCACGTGTTGCCGAGAGCCTGCCCACCACTCAGTGCCGAAGATCCGCGTCGCCACCATCTTCTTGCTCTCATCCTGGGCCGAGGCAGCGCAAGCAGACGCGCCCGAACAATGTGTTCACATCTGTAACTTGCTGTCATTGTTCTGTTGTCTGTCATTCTTCTGTTGTCTATCATTTTTCTGTCAGTTCTGTCATTTTTCTGTCGGAGCTTCGTGCGTTTGTTTTGTTGCTGTTTTTTTAGGGGGGGGGGGGGGGGCGGGGGGGGCTGGGGGGGGGGGGGGGGGAGGGGGGGGAGGAGGGGGGGGCCCAGGGCGCGGAGCTCCGCGGGGATGTTCATTCCACCCCCCGAGGCGACCCCACCTACCAACCTCCTACAGACCTCCGCCTCCTCCTCCACCGCTCCCGCTGATCGACGGTCCTCGGCTGGGTCGAGCTTGCACATCTGGAGGTCGGCAGCGCACAGGTTGTAGGAGTCGCGCAGCTTGATCCAGAGCGGATGGTAGTACAGATGCATGCACAACTGGCCTTCCAATATCACCGCCAATTTGCGTCGAACAGCAAGCTGGAACAATAATACCGTCGCCAATACGATCTTGAACTGCTCATCGGAGAGCGGGCCGAAATTGCACTCAGTCGGAGGGCTGATCCACAACAGGCCGCCAGGCTTCAGCATCCACGCGAAGCTCAGCGTTTGGTACCACCCGCCAGGCGTCGCAATATCCTCGGGGGCGCGGAAGAGCTCGGGTGAGTGAGCTCCTCGTCGTCATATTGCTCCTCCACCTCCTCCTCATCCTCCTCCTCCGCCCCCTCATTCTGCACTCTTTCATTTTTCTGTAATTCTTATGTTTTCTGTTATTGTTTATGTTATTTGTTTGTGTTTTGTGTTTTTTGTTTTTTTGTTATTTTTCTGTTGCTTTTGATTTTTCTGTAATGTTTCTGTTATTTTCGGTTTTCTGTCATTTTTCTGTAATTTTTCTGTCATTTTTCTGGTTTCTGTCATTGTTCTGTCATTGTTCTGTCGCCGGTCAGTTTTCTGACCTTTTTCTGTGAGTTTCTGTTTTCTGTTATTTTTATGTTATTTTTCTGGTTTCTGTCATTTTTCTGTCATTTTTTTGTCGTCTGTTATTTTTCTGTCATGTTTCTGCTCGGCGCGATTCCTCCCTCGAGGTCCCCAGAAGTGCCCCGCCAGGGGAACCCGCACTTGTCGAAGCGAGTGACTGCGTAGCCCTTCTGCTCGAAAGCGTCGCTGAGACGATGCGATCCTGAAAAAATCTCGAGCACATCCCACTTGCGATTGAACTCCTTCTGGGCGGCCACGGGAACCTCGCAGCCGAAGAGGATCAACTTGTCGAAATTCTCGCCAGAACAGTGATAACAATAATTCGGATCATCAGCATGATCAGCGAAAACGGCTGGGTCCATCCCGATCTGGCTGGACGTCTCACCGAGGAAACGTTCATGCTGCTCTATTGACATGACTTCGAGCTCTGGGGAGCTCTGGGGCCTCCTTCGAGGCCAGGTGAACTTCGAAGCCAAAACAGCTTGCTCGCTCCTCCTTCTCCTTCTCCTCCTCCTCTCCATTATCTTTCTCCTCCTCCTCCTCCTCCTCCCCCCCGTCACCATTAGTTGTTTCCTCGTCCTCCTCGTTGTTCTCCTCCTCCTCCTCCTCACCTCCTCCTCCTCCTCCATCCTTCTCCTCCTCCTCCTCCTCTTCCTCCTTCTCCTCCTCCTCCTCCTCCTCCTCCTCCTCCTCATTCTTCTCCTCCTTACTCTCCTCATTCTACTCTTCGTGACGACAGTGGCGATTGCAAGGCAGGCAGGACTGCAACGACGGCGACGCCTACGACGGTGGCCGCGGCAGCAGCGGCGGCAACGGCCACGACGCTGACGGTTGCGAGGCCGACGGAATGCACGGACGACGACCACGGCGACGACGGCGGTGGTGACGGTTGCAACGGTGGCGGCGACAGTCACGATGTTGACGGCTGTGACCCACGGAGACCGCGGCAATGGCGACAGTTGCAACGGCGGCGGCGACGGTCACGATGCTGACGTCTGCGAGGCCGACGGGAGACGACCACGGCGACGGAGGCGGTGGGCGGCGGCGACGGCGACGACTCTGACGATTGCGAGGCCTTCGGAAGGCACGGACGACGACCACGGCGACGGCGGCAGTGGCGACGACCACGGCGATGCGACGAGCGTGGCGCCGACGGAGCAAACACGCGAGCAAGCACGCGAGCACGCGCGGAGCTGGGGCGGGGCGCGCCGAGGGGTGTGGTCGAACTTCTTGTCGTCGGGGGGGCAGGCGAGGGCGCGCGACCCCCCGCGACCCCACCGACCGACCCACCGACTCCGAAAGGGCTCGACACTGATCCGCCTGATCCCTAGGTGAGGGCTCGAGAGGGCATGTGGGAATATCTGTTATAGCTAAATTTAAGAATTTTAGCGGCAGGGATAACATTTATCCTTGGGATTTTTTCATATTGGCATGCAACAACTAAACTTTAGTCTGGGATACAATCCAAGAGCGGACCGAATATTTTAGCGCGGGGATAAAATCTTAGTTGTTTGGAGGGTCTGGGGGCGTATGCACCGATCCTGGGCTCAGGATGGGCCAGGCCAGAATCGGTGCATGTGCATAGTTATTTTTCCTCTACCCCTTGCTCTCTCTCTCTCTCGCCCTCCCTGCCGCGGTCGCGCCGCGCCCCGCCGGGGAGAGCTGGCCGGGGGCGTGGCGGTGCGGGGGTGAGGATGAGGAGGAGGAGGAGGAGGAGGAGGAGGAGGAGGAGGAGGAGGAGGAGGAGGAGGAGGAGGAGGAAGGAGGAGGAGGAGGAGGAGGAGGAGGAGAGGAGGAGGAGGAGGAGGAGGAGGAGGAGGGAGGAGGGGGAGGGGGAGGGGGGAGGAGGAGGAGGAGGAGGAGGAGGAGGAGGAGGAGGAGGAGGAGGAGGAGGAGGAGGAGGGGGACGAGGAGGAGGAGGAGGAGAAGGAGGAGGAGCCGGGGAGGGCTGGCCGGGGGCGAGGCGGTGCGGGGGGGGTCGGCGGGCAGGGCGCCGCCCGCCGAGGCCTCCGCCCTCGCGGAGATCGAGGCGCGCTGCTCCGGGCGGCCTCTTGTTGCCGGCCGCCCCTCCCGCCCCGCGTGCCGGCCTGGGAGCACGATCGGTCAGAGCCCCGAATCATCAGGGGGAACTCGGGTCAGTGCTAACTCGGGTCCGTTTTTCGGGAGTCCGAACCCGAGTTACCCCGGACCCGAGTTATCCCCCGGATATTTCGGGCGTCCAGAGCCCCGAATCATCAGGGGTAACTCGGGTCAGGGCTAACTCGGGTCCGGTTTTCGGGAACCCAGACCCGAGTTACCCCGGACCCGAGTTATCCCGGATAATTCGGGCGTCCAAACCAGGCGGAGGGGCAAGGCGGAATCGGAGGAGGAGCAGGAACCGAGGAATCGGAGGAGGATCAGGCGCACGAGAAAAAGCAAGGGGGGATCGGAGGAGGGCCAGTCGAGGCACTGGCGGCCCTCCCTGGCGTGTCTCTACCCTTCTATGTCTCCCGGAGGCTTCCCGTAACTATGGACCCCTCGAGCAACCAGGCAGGATGGACCCCGAGAGGGGTCCGGGGGCCGATTCTGAGCGGATTTAGGCCGGGCGGGGGAGCCGCCGTTTTTCCCAACCATCCTGTGGTGTTGGGTCGTCGTTTTGAAGAGACAGCGCCCGCGTCCTCCTTCCTTTTCCTCCCGCTGCCTCCCCTCGTCCCCCTCCTTGCTCTGCCATCCGCATGTCCCTCTGTCGGCACACCCCTCCGGCGTTTCGTGGCCCCATAGGGAGCTCCACCTAAGGTCCCAATGGCGGAACTCGCATGGCGGCCTCGGGCCATTTCGGCACACCCCTCACAAGGATCGTGGCCCAATAGGGAATTCCACCTAAGGTCCCAATGCCGGAACTCGCATGGCGGCCTCGGGCCATTTCGGCACACCCCTCAGGAGGATCGTGGCCCCATAGGGAGCTCCACCGACGGTCCCAGTGGCGGAGCTCGCATGGCGGCCTCGGGCCATTTCGGCACACCCCTCCGGCGTTTCGTGGCCCCATAGGGAGCTCCACCTAAGGACCCAGTGGCGGAGCTCGCATGGCGGCCTCGGGCCATTTCGGCACACCCCTCACGAGCATCGTGGCCGAGCTCCACCGAAGGCGCCAGTGGCAGCGTTCGCATGGCGGCCTCGGGCCATTTCGGCACGCCTCTCACGAGCATCGTGGCACCATCGGGAGCTCCACCGAAGGCGCCAGTGGCAAGGTTCGCATGGCGGCCCCGGGCCATTACGGCACACCTTTGACGAAGATCGTGGCCCCATAGGAGTTCCACCGAAGGCGCCAGTGGCAGGGTTCGCATGGCGGCCTCGGGCCATTTCGGCACACCCCATCACGAGGATCGCGGCCCCATACGGAGCTCCACCGAAGGCGCCAGCGGCAGGGTTCGGATAGCGGCCTCGGGTCATTTCGGCACACCCCCCACGAGGATCGTGGCCCCATAGGAGCTCCACCGACGGTCCCAGTGGCAGCTTCCCTTATGGCTCTCACAGCCCCCTCCTGCTTCTGCTCCTCGGTCAGGGGGGCGCCGTCTTCGTCGTCGCCGGCGCCCGCGAAGACTGGCGCGAACGTGTCCCTGAGCATGCCGGACTCCGGCGGGAAGCCGTGGCCACATAGGGAGCAATTGCGGCACTCACAACTGCGTATGGTTGGGTCTTTCGCCAGGCTGATTCTGTTTCTAGGAAGGAGGAACGAGGGGGTGCGGATGACGAGAGGGGAGGAGTAAGTGGGAGGGGGGGGTGGAGGAGGAGAAGGAGGAGGGGCAGGGGAAAAATGTGGAAAAGAGGTGGAGGGGGGAAGGGTGCGGGGGGAGGAGAGTGGATAGGAGGGGAGGGGAGTCGGAGGATGAGTGGGCGATGGAGGGACATCAGAGGAGGATGCGGAGGGTGGAGGAGGAGGATCAGGATTAGGAGTACTGTTCCCCTGAAGTTACGACTTCTGAATGGAAGACCCCTCCCCGTCCCTCTCTCAGGGAGGCGAACAGCGCACCCAGGGGCGAAAGAGATCCCTCGACAGCGCCCCCAGCGGCGAAACATTGTTTTTGTTCGCCACCCCCTGGGTATTGTGACCCCCAGCCCGCGCCCGCGGACCCCTCCACAGGCGTAGCCACATAGCATCGCCCCGCATTAGCAACGCACGCAGCGGACGCACGAAAACCGGATGGGAAGGGAGGCGCGGCCGTCCAGGCGGACGTTGGCCAGGTTTCTGGCGGGTGTCCTTAGATGTCCGATGTTTTCCATTCGGTGTCCTACGGTGCCCTCTTCGGCTTCCTAGTTGCCCTTCGCTGACCGATGGTTCTCTAGATGCCCCTCAGGCTGTCCTTGGGTCTGCCATGGCTCTCCTCTGGTTTTCCACGGTGCTCCTGAGGTGTTTCCGCCCCGCGGGTTCCGGTGGTGCTCTGGGGGGCCCGCGGCAGCAGGCTGCACGCGGCCCACGGCAGCGACCGCAGCGGACACAGAAAATTCGCGGCAGCGGAGGGCTCCCCCTGCGCCCGCAGCGTGCGCTCGGCCTGGGCCGCGCCCGCGCCCGGCGCCGCAGGCGGCCGGGCGCTCGGGCGGAGGCCTCGCCCTTTGGCCCGCGGCCCGCGGCAGCAGAAGGCTGCCCTCCCTCTCCGCGATGCGCTCCTCTTCCTGCAGCAGAAGGCAGCAGAAGGCTGCCCTGCTCTCCCTGCAGCAGAAGGCTGCCCTCCTCTCCGCGATGCGTTCCGCGGCTGCCCTGCTCTCCCTGCAGCAGAAGGCAGCAGAAGGCTGCCCTGCGTGCGCCTGGCTCGGCCCGCGCCCGAGAGCGGCCGCCGGCCCGCCACTGGCCGCCGGGCCTGGCGTCCGCGGCTTCCGCGCCCGCCGCTGCGGCGGCTGCGGCGGCTCTTCGGTTCCGCTGCAGCGTCGCTGCCTTCCAGTAGTCGCGCGATGCGGAGACACATGCGGGCTTGGCCGTTTGGCGCGCGCATTGTTCTTGGCCCGAGCTCTGGTCCATATCGCGCAAATCCTGACCCCTTGTCACAACAGGACAAGGAGCCGAGGGAGGGAGAACAACAAGGACGGTGATATGGGGAGAGAAGGAATGGAATCCTTTTCCCTCCCCCGCCGATTTTCGGGCATCGCTGCGGTCGAGGTCGGGAATGGGTTTGCTGATGTTGTTCTGCTGGTCGCGCGGGGGAGGACTCTGTTCTCCCCTCCTTCTCCGCCGCCAGAAGTCTCTTCGTTTTCTGTCCACGCCTGTCTTCCCTCCTCATCGTCTTGCCATTCTTATCCTCCCCCTCCTTTCTCCTTACATTTCCGCATTACCTCCTCATCCCGTCTCCTCCTCGCCACCGTCCCTCCAGTATGTCCCCATCTGCCCTTGGACCTTCCCGGACCTCTCGGTCGAAACATTCTCGGCAGGAGGATGCCCCCGTGCCTCGGAGAGTTTGGCGCAATGCCCCAAATGTTCTGTACGAGTTCTGTAGATGTTTCGCACAACGGACCAGGGGCCACGGAGAGCCCAAGATTCGGTGAGGCGATGGTCTCCTGTCTGGTCTTACGAGGAGGGCCGTTCCCGTCCTGGAAATCGGTGACGTGACGGTTTCCCTCATGGTTTCGCTTGTGTGGTCGTCCGTACGGGTTCCCGTATGGTAACCCGCACGGTTTATTGCATGGTTTACCGTCTGGTGTTTCTATATGGTATCATGAATGGACTCTTGAAGGGTTTCCGGTAGCATGGTATTTAAGTGTAAAGCAGTGCGATTGGACGTTCATTATTGTAGGCGCACGAGTTTCTAATTCGCATTTAGTTTCGATGCGAGTTGCATTGGGTGTGGTGGACCCCCTGAGTGTCGCGAGCTCGAACTCGCCCTTGCACAGTGTTTGTCACCACGCTCGAACGGACCGCGCGGCGGGCTTGCGCGCTCGCGCACGCACGCGTGTTCGGGCATCGACGAGCGTCCCCTGGACCCCACCCCCAGGCTACCCTTCTTTGTCTTCCTCCCTTCACTCCTCCTGTTCTCCCTTCTGATCTTCTTGATCCTTTCACCCGACGGGTTGGGGCTGTTATGTTTCATGCCTTCCTTCTATAGGCAAAATCAGCTTGCCTCTTGCTGCACACCTCGGACGCCAGGCCCAAAGTTCCTCTGGGTGTCTTGCCTCGCACCTTTGGCGAATAACGACTGCATGCCGCGACCGCCAGGCCCATAGTGTGTCGGCGTCCCCCAAGTATCCCGTCTCGCGTACGGGGGTCGGCTGAAACGATGTACCTATTTAATGTGTCCCCCGCAGCATCCTCATCATTCTCCTCCTCCTTCTTCTCCTTCGCCGATTGACAGAGGTGGACGCCGTCGCATGATTGGACCCGAAAACCTAAAGATTTCTTGACGGGCACGAAAAGTTAATCCGGCATCGTCATACGGCAGTGCGCCGCAGCCGCCGTCAGGAGGGGAGCGACGTTGAGCAGCCTGCGCAGTCGTCATGAGAGTTCCGGCGCCCTTTGGCGGCGTGTGAGCCCGTTGGTCGCCATGAAACAAACGTGTCGTGAGGTGTGTGTGTGTGTGTGTGTGTTTGTGTGTGTTCGTCGTTTCGGGCTTCCGGGGGCTGTCTTTGAATTGCTGACGACGACACTCTCAGGACGAAGGGCTCATTCTGGGGGAAGGCCCAGGGGTCCATATCCCGTGTCCCCCAGCTTCATGCCGAGCGCGGCTGGCCGAACGGGCTCACGCGCCGAGGGCGGGCTCAGGAGAGGGCCCTGGGGTCCGTTCCCTCTGCTGCCGCCGCTGTGCGGAGCCCTGCCGAGGAGGGCGGCACCCAGACCGCCCGGCCTCCTTTCTGAGGCTCCTCGTGTCTGGACGCCCGAAATGGGCACGGAAAGAATGGGTACTATGCCCAACAGCAGTTCTTGTCCATTTTGAACCAGATCCGCTCTCCACGCCGCCGCGGCCTGTGTCCATTCGAGACAGAAGGCCGCCTGTCCAACAGCGGCCGCTGTTGGTTTGGGACAACATTTGTTGTTGGGCATCGTGCCCATTCTTTCCGTGCCCATTT